TAGTTTTTTCTCATATTTTATTCTGAAAATTCTGAATCCATGAATAGCATGTTAACCATTGTTCATTCAGAATTTTTAATTCATACATGAATACTCAATCTGTTCAGATAATTTGGATTCTCAATTCAATTGGGAACTTTGATCATATTGATTGTGAATCATGGTGACGATGATGATGTTGGTTAGAGTTGATTAATGTTGACAATTTAAAATTAGTCTCGCTTCAACAGCAACAATTTAAATCCCAAATCAGATTGTAGTTATTATCATCAGTCAATATACTCGAAAACCTTTTCACAATTTTGACCTTTTTCGGGTCCAGGAAGTGGCTAAGATGATCGTTACTCGATAATGTTCAATTATCGATCAACTTGATGTTATCAATAATTGTTCATACAATTGGAATCAATTGATTTGGGTGGACAATAAAATACAATAAAATACTTACAACCATTAAACAATATAAATTGTTATCAATAGTTGAGTGGATTGTGAAACAAGACGAAATATCAGACAATTGTAAGTAAAGGTAAAAATAAAATGACCATTGGTCAAATTTTCTAATTTTTATTTTCGTGAATGAATTGGATAGAAAAAAGAAACTTTCAACAATAATAATAACAAAATGTTCAACATTTCACTTAGTATTAATAAGAAATGTCAATAAAAATGAACAAGAATTATGAAATACAATCATCACTTTATCATCTATTATTTCAATTTGAATTAGATTATCAGGATAATAGTAAAATTTTCCAAGAAAAATTCTCAACTTATCCCATACTAATAATGATGGTTCACAGTATTTTCCATGTTATCTGTTAACTCAAGTTCCAAGTTGATGATAAAATTATCGGAATAAAAGAGAAGAAGGAAAAAACCAAAGTTCTGTTTTCATTTGCAGATTATCAATGAGATTTTTTCGTGTAAAGCAAATGACACCATGAATTCTGGTTGATTACTGATTGAATTAATCATCATGAACAGATAGAGAGTCAACCTGATGAGGTGACAATAATCATGATGATGTTATAAGTACATATTATTATATGATGTGTATAAAAAGCTTTTATCAACTGTTAGGAACTGGAATTAACTGTTACCATTGTAATTATCATAATGGCTTATGGTTAATGATTGTGTCTGTTGGTGTTGTTGTTGTTGTTGTTGTTGTGGTAGTGGTGTTGATGGTAGGTGATAATACTGAATAGTTTGGAATTGTTCGGAAAGGATAAAATATCAGGGAGAATATTTTTTTCCAGGCTGTTATCATGACGATGAAGATGTTTGAAGAGTAAAGAAAGTGGGTAGAAAGAGAGACAGATGAAAAAAAGAAAGTTGATAAGATTGATGATTCAATCAATTTGGATGAAGATGAAGATGATCAGGATGATTACCTGAGTAAAAGTGATAAGAAAATTCAACCAGAACTTTTTTTGTATTTTTTCTTTCACTTTGTTATAATCTAAGTGACGAAATATTATTATTATTACTTACCTACAAATGTTTGATGATGATGATTATCAACTGAATTTCATGGTGAAAGTTAACATAGATTGATCATTAGACTGAATTCTTGAAAGTTCTGAGAGAAAAACTCAGAACTTTTCTTTATTCCCTTTGTGAGAAAAGTTTTTTCTCCTCATCGTCAATCGTTTTCAGTAATTACGAGATTAAGATGATCTGGAATAAGATTATAATGTTTTTTTGTCGATTATAAAGTTTGGTTTTTCTGCATATGTGTAATTGGAATGGGAAAGAAAACTAATCGAAAAAGGAAAAGGAAATAAAAATATTGCCTCAAGGGTAAATTGCCCGCTGGGAGTTTAGGTAATTAGACAATTTAACCCTTAACCTGTATAGTTAATTGTGTTTCATGTAACAATATAATTGACGATAACAATGGTGATGATAAAATAGTTGTCACAATTAAAGGAAACACAGATAAGGAGCCAACTAAATCAACATCTCCATGGACTTTATTGTCTTCAATTTAGTTAATTGCCTTCCATTAGTTATTAATCTACCAGCACAATTAAAAGGCAAACAGATGATTAATTAGCTGTGATAATTAGTTTTTAATTTTCTATCACTTTTTCTAATTTATGAATTACTTTTCTCTATCAAAATGTTAACAATTAACTTGGAAATTTTATCTCTAACTTTTGTAAGGATAATCTTGATATTGATATGATAATATAATAATAACAGTTTAGAACTTTTTTCAACTTCTTTTCATGAGATTTTCATGGAAAATTTGAGTTTAATGGACAATGGAGACAAATTTGGAAAACTTTTGCTTTCCTCTCCAATCAATATCATCATTGATTATCTTCATGTGAGAAATGATATACAAATGAAATATGAATTCTCAATCGGATGAATCAAGTGAAAAAAGGAATAAAATTTGTAAGTTCCAAATTTTTAGAAAATCGATCCAACTCTGAACGATAACAATTGAAATCGTATCATCTATGGAGATGTACCATGTCACATTTGCCATGATGATTATTATTTATTTTCTTTCCGATCCTTTCACTTTTTGAATATTCTCATTTGTATTGATATTCAGTCAAATATTGAACTTGAAGCAGAAATAATTGAAATCAGGTCAGGCTAAATACAAGGTAGAGTAGAAATTGGATTTATAAGAATAACTTTGAATCTTATATACATAATATACATTTCCACCCACCACTTAGGTCAACAATTTCCCACCGTAAACACCAATAAAAACCAAATCATTGATTATTGGTGTTCAGTGGAAGGTCATGGAAATGAAATGAAAAAGAAAAATATATAAATTCTAACATTTGAAACTGAAGTCAGAACTTTTTTTCCATGTTATTGGTTGAGATTTTCCTTCAACTTTTCCATTGAAACCAATCAGATTTAATATAAGCATAGATTATTGTTGTATATTTGGTTTAGTTAACAATGGTCAGTTTCTTATTATGAGTGACCATTGTAATCCATCATGTTAACTCATGAGGGAAAATTATTAATATCAAAATGTTTACTTTCCAATAAGAAAACATAATGATGCTCATCTGAGAAAATCAGAATATTAGATTTCATGAAGCATGAAATCTACATTAATATATATATAAATCTCAGAATAAACTGATAATGTAATTATTTCCTTCCTAACGAGTATTAAGAGGATAAGAATTGAAACTAATGAATTTACCATGAATATCAATTAATCTCATGTATGTTGATACATTTTCTCAGAATTTTAATCCAATTGAGATGGAGATTATCATGGTAACATCAACAATATGAGAAGAAATTTTTTATATTCTTTCCAATGGAAACAATTTAATACTCTAATCATTTATACTAAGACTCTTAATTGTTGCCATTTGAATTTATATTTTTATATTAGGTGATGAAGATGTTAATTGTTGTCGTTGCCTTGTTTGCACTCTGCTGGCTCCCATTGCAAACATATAACTTCCTGAAAGACTCATTTCCGGAAATTAACACGTAAGCATAATGAACAACAACAACAATTAAAACATCAAATTAGTCTGCTAATCACAATTAGCTTAATTGGAATGAGGCAAGCAAAAAATAACAAAAACCTAATCATATTCACTGGTTGTTTTGATAACTAATAATAGCAAAAACATATCAACGGATTAACTCACAAGATTAATTTGGATTTGTAATTGATTTTCACTTGTATCTATACATTGAATATTAAATTGTGATTGCGATTAATTGTACAATCAATTTTCTTGTTCCATGATTAAAGTTTTGTTTGTTGTTTTAATTTTTTCAGATTCCGTTATATTAATGTGATCTGGTTCTGTTCCCATTGGTTGGCAATGAGCAATTCATCAGTTAATCCATTTATCTACGCGATTTACAAGGTAACACAATTAGTATTTAATTGTCAAGTTTTTTAATCTCAATTTCGTTACAATTTAATTCAGATTTTTAATTCATTTTTTTTTCACTCTTCACAATCTCATTCAGATCTCATCAGACTCATCCAGACAAGATTAATCCTCTTAATTGGTTGTTAATCCATGTTGATTATCAATGGGTTCACATTTTTAATGATCTCATTTAATTATCTAATTTAAGATTAATTGTAATAAATTATTTATCTTTTCAAATATTCATAAACTTTTCCAATTAATTTAAATTGCTCTTTCATCCATTAGTTTGAAGGGAAATTAATTCAACATTCAAATAAAAAAAAACCAGACAAACCTAATGAATCTCTTAACCTATTAATGGAAACATCAATTAATCATAATGATAACTATTAAGTGGTTAATTGAATGTAATTAAAACTAATCATGAAAAAAGAAAGAAAAAATTCTGAAAAACTGATTAAATGTTACAAAAAGATAGAGAGAGAACGTTTCTGTTAGGTGGCGCCATCCATCGGGTAGAATTTGAACTTTTCTTAGAATAAAATTTTTTAGTCTCTTATTAATTTAAAATCTCGAAGAAATTAAGCAATTATAATTATGGAATTGATTAATTTTCCTAGTAATTTAAATTAAGAATCAACTCGAGCATCAGGTTAATGAGAAAATTGAAATCTCTAAACTTTTGTTGAATTTTGAGTTTTTTGTTTTGAATGAAGTAAAAACAAAATCAGTAAAATCCGAATGATTAATTTAAATAGATAAACAATTAGCTAATTGTTGGCAAAAAATATACTTTATATATTTCATTTTGTCTTCGTATGTATAATATATATGTATTATTTACTCATACAGAGGTTGGTTTTTTTGTTCAATATTATTTTTGCAAGTTTTTTTTTATGTTTCCATCCAATTGTTGATATTTCAATTGGTGCTGGTGTTGTGAATATAATAAAAATAATATAGTTAATAATAATGATATAATAATAATAATAATCAAAAATACAATAATAATAATAATACAGAGGCTTTTTGTTTGTGTGTTGATTTTGTGATTCTTGGTGTGGTGTTGTTGTAGTGTATATGTAAGTGTGTGTGTGTGTGTGTGTGTGTGTGTGTTGATGTGTATGTGCCAACCAGGTAAGTTTCAGATTATACGGTTTGGTATTACAAAGGTATTGTTATTATTATTATTGTTTGATTAGAGAGAGAAAAAATAATTGATATTGTCTTTGTTCAAAAATTGATGATGATGATGGTGGTGATGATGTCGGTTATTGATTGATAATTGATAATCAATCAGTTTGTCGTTGAATCGGTGAGTTATTTACAGTTTAAAATCAACAGAGAGGAAATTTGAATTTCCGAAAATAAAAAAAAATTGTCGATTTGAGGTCACTTTTTTTTGCGTTTTTTTGTCGTTTTGTTTTACAATTTTAAGACACTTGGTGTTTTTTTCATTAATATATATGTCGTCGTCGTCGTCGTTGATCAGGTCATAGTGATTGTTTGTCTATGTGTTAACCGGGGAAAGGAAGTGATCATCTATTGATAGTCAATTGATTTCGTATCGATTGGTGATTAATAAAAAAAAAGAGTCGTGATTCAATCTTTGTGCTTGATTGTGGTGATGATTAAGTTTCTCAATTTTCATCTTTGGCATCTTGACTTGATTATCTTTAAGTTGTTGGTTTTTGATCATCTTTCTCTTGGTTGGTTGGTCAGTGTCTATTTATATGGGTACCAATGCTTTTGAGCGAGTGTTTTTGTTGATTTGATTGGTTGGCGATCGTTAACCGAAACTGATTAACAAGTCGAGATCAAGATTGTTTGTCCATCTCCATGGTGTGTGTGTATGTGTTTCTCTCTGTGTATGTTTGTTGTGTCGATTTGTTGTGAATGTTAAAGGTTTTCGATGGGGCTGAATATAAGTTTATCTCTTTCTTTAATCTTCCATTTTTTTCTCAGTCTTCAGGTCAACCAATCGGTGTAACTCTTGAGGTGTATAATGAAGTATCGATTGAAGATCACAGACAAACTTGTACACATATCGTTTACCTGCCGTCTTGTGGATAATATTTTTATCATAATAATATCTTAAACCACGGCTAAGTTTCTCGTAGTTCATTTTGGGCTTATTTTTACGAATACCCCATCGTCGGGCAACCTCATCAGGTTCAGTTAATTTGAATTCCCAACCATCACCAGTCCAGGAGATGAAATTTTGGCAACTCTTGTCAGATAAAAGTTCAAGTAAAAATTGCCATAACTGAATTGGTCCAGATCCTAAAGAAAGAGAGAGAGAGAGAGAGAAATTCAGAACAAATAAAAACAAACGATTAGCGATTTCAAATGATAAATTGATAATAAAGTTCTAATAATATAAATTGTTCAGTGTGAAACTAATTGTAATGATGAAGCCGAAAGCTTCATGCAAATAAACAAATTTGATTTGATTAATTTACCTGCAAGAGCTGCAGCTTGAATCACTGGTTTACCGCTTGGGTCATTACCGTTTGAAATTATACTTCCAGCGGGTGATAAGGACGACGGGAATGATCCCGAAGACGGAGACGCTGAACTGAAACTGTGGTCTCGAGAGTGTACCCCATTGTAAGGTGAATGTTGGGCTTGAGGTTGGGCTTGTTGATGATGATGGTGAGCATGTTGCTGTTGTTGATGGTGTTGTGCGACTTGAGTTTGAAGGTGTTGCGGAGATGATAAATGCTGTTGGTGTTGGTGAAGGTGTTGAGGCTGTTGCTGTTGTTGCTGATGGTGTTGTGGTGATTGATGTTGATGGTGGGGTGTATGAAGGTTTGATCCTGTTAACTGATGATGTGAAATTGGCGATAAATGAGCTGGATGGAGTGAATGATGAGGATGAAGTTGTTGTTGGGGATGTTGTTGAGTTAAAAGGTGTTGATGTTGTTGCTGTTGTAAATGACTATGGTGATTATGACTGAGATGATGTTGTTGTTGTTGTTGTTGCTGATGATGAGCAAGTTGAGATGTTGGATGAGCATGTTGTTGTTGTTGTTGTTGTTGTTGTTGACCACAATTAGATGTACCATTGGCACTACCATTCACCGAGCCAACAATTGAATCGTTAGCATTATAATTAGTTGAATTACTTGTTGATTTACTAGAATTACAATTACTAGAATTACTAGAATTTGAACTATTAACACTATTATTAACAGAGGGATTATTATTATTACTAGAATTATTTAAACTATTATTATTACTATTACAAGAATTACTTGTATTATTATTACTATTATTGGTATTATTATTATTAGCGTTATTATTATTGGTACTAGATGAAGATCGACTTGAGCCTGAAGATGAATGTGGACTTAATTCACTGGCCCATTGTTCAGGTGAAGGTGTGGGTGGAATTGATGAAGGCACCGTTTGAAATGAATTATCGTACTGATGAGAACCATAAGAATTCATTAGGTCAAGTGAAGTTATATCAGAGTATCGACCTTTGTGAATAAAAAATTAAATAAAGAATATCATGAATTCAAAGTTAGAATTGATTTTTAATTGATTGATAGATTTTATTGTTGAGGAAAAAAACAATTGATTAACTTACCTCGACTGTTAATTACTTCAATGTAGGGTGACTTTGATGTGGTTACATAGGTTGATGAATATTTAGATTCACTTAGCATTGTTGGTCCAACAACCGTTGAATAAAATTCTGACCCATTATCAAGGTAAGATGCATGAGGTCCAGTTGGACCTTCGAGTCCATAATCAACAGTATCATCACCATAATGTTGACCATTGTTATGACCACCATTTGAGACATCATTGCCCACACCAACTAGACCATTGACCATATCATCATGACCAATGTCACTTAAGGTATGCATGGATTCAGTAAAATGATTGTAGGCACCTAAAGATAAATAAGATGAGGATGATGATGATGATGATGAACATGAAGATGATGAAGATAAAGATGATGGTGGTGAGGGTATTGTTGTATTTGATGATAATAAGGTTGATGTTGGCATTGTGGTGATAATCATGATGAATATCAAAGTGTAAAAAAGGCAACAGGTAACCAAAGTAATGGAGACAAAATGAACAAACCAAATTGGTGATGTTAACAATAAGGAACCACAGATGATTAAAAGAAAAAAAATAATCACAATTAATATTAATTGTTGTAAAAAGTAACGATAATTTAGGTGGTTAAATGATTTTCTTATTGATTCATTAACAAAAGTCCATATTGTTATCATGAATGAACAAGATGAGAGTAAAAAAAACAATAAAATCGTTGAAGTTTCAAAAATAATAAATAGTAATGATGATTAACAAAATAATAATAATAATCAACTATGTTGAAGGTGTGTAAAAAATTGATTGTTGTTGATTATGAAAAAAATAATACTTAATGATGATTAAATTTTTTCACAATTTAATGTTAAACAACAGGTAACAAAACATTGTTGTGATTGTGGTAATATAATAATTATTTTATCGTTGATTGTTGTTGTTGTTGCTTTGAATGAGAAATATCAACTAAGAATCAACTTGGAGTGAGTAGTAGTGGAGGGAGTCGAGGGAGATGATGATAAAGTGAAAAAAGAGTGAGAGGAAGAGAGAGAGAGAGAGGGTGGGAGAATGAGAGAGAAGTGATTTTCTTCTCGCTCTTTCTTCTGTCGTTCTTACTACTGTCTACTTTTCTTTCTTTCTTTCTTTTCTCTTTCTTTTCTCTTTCTTTATCATCCTCATCATCATCTTTTTTTTGGTGAGAACCTATACTTTTGCGGGTTTAGTCCAGTATAAAATAAGAATGATGATTAAAAAGAAAGAGAGTCTCTCTCTTTTTTTCTCGTGTTACCTGAGAAGCTAATGAGAGAGAGAGAGAGAGAGAGAGAGAGAGAGAGAGAGAGAGAGAGAGAGAGAGAGAGAGAGAGAGAGAGAGAGGCAAGAAGAGAATTATTAATAAGACAGAGGAAAAAGAAAGAGGATTTAATTTAGACAGAGGAATAAAAGTAAGAGCATCTTCATCTCCATCATTTAAAATATAAACTCTAAAGTCTATGAATGAAGAGGAAAAAAGTTTACACAAAGAAAATCATTGATTCTCTTTCTTTTTTCTCTGTCTTTTTCTTTTTGCTTCTCATCTTCATCATTATCATTTAAAAGAAAGAGGAAGAAAACTCTCTCTCTCTCTCTCTCTCTTTAATTCTTTTTGTCTTTCTTTTTCATCCTCATCATCTCTTTCTCAGCATATGGTAACCGAAACATATTCATTTCTAACACATTATCATCTTATTATTTTCTCATCTTCATCATCTTCTTGACCTTTACACTTATCATCCAATCTCAATGTCTTTCAGGTCAATTATTTAGAATGACCATTCCGTTGATTGTCAACAATTAGTCGATCATAATTATCTTATAACAATTAACTAAATTGTATTAGTTAGATTTTGTCGTTATGATTGTTAAACTAATTTCACTTTTCTTTAAATAATTTAAATTTTAACATTGAATTTGAATATAATCACATAAATTCAACCAACTAAATCAACTTAATCATTAACAATTAACTGTATTGAGAGAGAGAGAGAGACCTTGTTATATAATGATAATCAATTACAGTTTATTTTTAGTCAATAGATAAGAAAAAGCAATTTAACAATTTACTAATTGTAAATCATTTATTCATTAATACATTTCTGAAAACTACATAACATTGACAACAAATGATTTAATTTATGATTTATGATTAACAATTTAACTTGATTTTTCAAGGTAAAGTTACAACGACTCTTAATTGTCGTTGTTGATTGTTGTATTGTTGATTAGTAATAATTTGTCAACAACAATCAATGACAAGTTAATATACAATATGAATTTTGTTTTTCTTACTAATCACAAATTGTTATTTTCAATTTCAAGCAATTAACTAATCAATAAATCTGCAACTAAATTAACTTTTTCTTTTCCTTAGTAATTTAAAAATTGAACTAAATTAACTTTCCAATGTTTTGTATTGTAAACTTTTTTGTCTACTTTTGTATTAATACATTTGGGTTCCTGTTTTGAGGTTAACAATTAATGATGTTCATTAGAATTAGTTAATTGTTGATCACTAATCACAATTTATTTTTTCCTCTTTCTAAGGTGATTAACACAATTAAAGCCAATAATCAGTTAATTGTTAATGGTTAAGTTTATGTTCACAAGTAAATCCTTGGAAACCCAATTTCAATCTGATTGTTAATCATTTGAAGGATTAAAATTGTTCATTATTATTATTAATAATAATTAGTAAACTAAAAATATAATTTAATTGTTATTAATCAGATTAGTTAAATTAACATTTAATAATAATCATAACCATATTTACTTTAGGTTAATCATTTCCTAGCAACTTCATTTAATACAATTAAGTTAATTGTTAGGGTTTTACTTGTATGATTTTATATTATTAATTGTTGCTTAGCTTGTATTATATTGATGATAATTAACCCAATCTAATCATAATCAACTCTCTGGTTTAATCAATTTAAAAAGGTTAAATTGTTTTTCGTTCAAAGTTCAATTGTAATGATTAAACCTCAACAATTTACCAATTATTATTAAATGATCACCTTGATAACCATCATTACAATTAGAATCATTTTTCCAACAATTAAGTCTCAAATGTCTGATCAATTAAAGTTATATCTTGTAAACTTTAATCATAGAGAATCAAACAAATTACAATCTAATTAACTGATAAACAGAGTTAAAATTATTGAGATAATCAGTTGATTAGTGTAAACTAAATTATTATACAATATTTTAGTCTAAATCATGAGAATCAGTTAATTTTGTTTCTATTCAATGTGATGATGAGTGAAAGTGATTAAGTCTCATGATTATTAATACATGTTCATATGTGTTTACAATTTAATTATCAAAGATTAGATTAAATATAATTTATGTTCATTCATGAGAATTACAATTAATCATTAACACTGATGATTAAGATGATGAGGATAATATTTACCAATCAAATGTTACTATTGAAAAGATTCCTCATCATAATCAGTTGATTGTTATGATTATTATTGTTATTGATCAATAACAATTAAAAATTAACAGTAACTAATTTTAATTGATCAAAATCACCAAGGAATAAGTATAAAAAAAAATGAAACAGAATCAACTTTTCAATAGTGATTAATAAATTGTTGTCATGATTATCAACATGATTATTAGTTAGTTAGATTTAATTGTGCTAAATGATAAAATTGGCTTATTCACAGCCAATCAAGCCAATTTAAGTTAACTAATTTACCACCAACAATGAACAGTTAACTAACTACACTTGATTGGCTTTTTGTTTGTTTGTTTGATTGTTGTTAAATTGTTGGGCTTCAATTAATATTAACTATAAACATTTATTTATCATTTATTATCATTATCATCAGTAATAATAATAATCATCAAGAATCGGAATCAAGTTGATTAGTTTAAATTGTTGAATCTGTTGCTTTGTTTAGCTGATTAGTTGATTTAATTGTTTAATATCAATTCTGAGGATGAATTTTGATACAAATTGTGTTTTTAAAAACATCAGCAACATGAGTGTTCAAGTTTCACCATGAGATTAGGATTAAGATTAGGATTAACAAGTTAATTTGGGAATATGGAGCAATTTCTAGTGAAAGATGATGATGATGACAAAAAGTTTTCTATGTGAAAGAGAAATCGTTGTCATCAATTGGAGAGGAAGTGGCGAAGGTGATTCATAATGATTAGGTCAAGTTTGACCCGAAGGGGTCAAGCAATAATTAAGGATCGTCTCTCTCTCTCTCTCTCTCTCTTGATTCAAAATTTTCTCAGATTTTAAGTATTGAGTCTCAAAGCGTATCGAGATGATAGCACCTGTCGGAAGAGATGCCTCCCTTGTTTCTTATCTTCCTCCTCCTCCTCTCGTCATCATCATCATCATCAGCTCTCTCTTTATCCTCCTGCACTCTCTCTCCCTCTATCTTAACCCCGATTACCTTGATCGTATCAACTATTCGAGATGTCATTTTAGCCGTTAGGTTTTTAAATTCATTTTCATTTCAATAGTAAGAAAGAAAGATGAAAATGATGATGATGATGATGATGATAAAGATGAAGATGAGAGTAAGAGCAAAAAAAAAGTCTTACAAAAAGTCACCGGAAGCTATTGCTCCCTTAGCCTCTCTTTTCTCCACCACCATCATCTTTGGAGGGAGAGTTAAAAAGCTCCTCTGTCTCTCTGTAAACTTCCTTTTAACTTTCATCTCTTTTTCTCTCACTCTCCATCATCATCATCTCTCTCTCTTTAAAAACTTGGTTACAGTGATTACATCTTCTTCTTCTTCTTCTACTACAAACATCATCTCCCTCAACCTCCTCTCCAAATCATTCATGAGTGACCCAGGTAACCGGAACAAGTACTTACAAGTAATAGTAACTTTTTACTCGTAAATAGTAAAAACTTTCATTGAGAAAAAAAAAGTTTGCCAGAAGAAAGTTTATCTCTCTCTCTCCCTCTTTCTCTCTAAGAAAAACATAACAAAAGAAAGAGAAGACGAAAATGATGATAATAATAATAATAGTAATGATCATGATAATGATAAAGACGAAAAAAAGATGAGAAATTAAAGTGAACCGAAACCGTTATAAGGTGACTGGGCCAATGGGCAAAGATACAGAAAGTGAATCAAGTCAACGGGAAAAAAACAAAGATTCATTGGACCATTAATTGTTAGAAGTTAATTTCTCAAGGCAACAATTAACTATTGATCAGTTATTGATGATAATTTATCATCATCTTCATCCATAGTTGATACAATCAACTCATTTTCACTGATACTTTTAATGTTGATTATCATTGATTATGAAAACATTTGGTAATCAAGTTTGTATTGTCAATTAATTTTATCAACTCTCATTGGGGTAATTTAACTTTTAACGATTAATCAATTTAGTTTAATTGTAATGGTTAAACCAACTGATAAATATTAATAAGTAAATTGATTGTTAACAATTAGTTTCAATGAATGTCAATTCAATCAACTGTTAATCATTTCCCTTAATCATCATAAATTGTAAATCTTTCTTATCGCCATCTCTTTATCATCATCATCAACAATTAGTTTTAATTGATAATCAATTAAAACTAATATACAATTGACAAAATTACATATATATAAATTGTACCGTTTATTGTTAATATTATTAATTGTTGTTGTTGTTATTATTATTAATACACTAAATTAATTAATCACTGTGACACTTAATCAAAGACGCAAAAATTAAATCAATCAACAGTGTTAATCAGTTAATCATTGATAAGCTTTAATTGTATCAACTAATTACTTCTTACTAAATGATTAATGATTAGATTAAAATCAATTTAAATGATTACTCTTGATGAGGGATTTGAAACAATGTGACAATTAATATAAAAACAGTTAATTGTTTCAATTGATTTAACAAAAATTTACTAACCTTTTTTTTTGAATATTTGAGTGAGAAAATAATTAGTTAATTGTTATCCAAATTTAATCCGTTTTCATTAATTGTTACACTTTGAACATACACACACCAAAACAATCACATAATAATCAGTTAATCGTTGATGAATTTATTGACAATTTAAGTTAACCACAAAAAAATTAAGTTGAAAAAAATACTGAATAGATTTGATTTTATACTTTAATTGTTGTTAGAATCACAAATATTTAACTTATTTAAAGTTAATTGTTTACCAACAGTTGAATCATAATTTAAGATGATATTAGATTTTACCTTTGTTTCTTAATTGTCACTAATTAATCAACTAATTTAGATAAAAAAACAAATGAAAAGATATCAAAATGGTAAACAAAAGTGGGAGGTTGTGAGTTGGATTAGTAAATGAATGAAAAATTTAGAGAGAAAAAAAAATCGTCATCAAATTATCATCATGAAGGAGGCACAAGATATTTTTACAGTCTCTTGCTAAGCTGTTTCGCCCTCATCATCTTCTACTGCATCTCTTTTACACAGGGTGGACCTTGGATGTTGGTACATATTGTATTGTGATGCTACTAACAAGTTAGAGAGAGAAAGAGAGAGAGAGAGAGGTAAAAGTATCCTTACCCTCCTTCTCCACCTCCGCCTCCTCCTCCTCTTCCGTCCCTCACAATCCTCTTGGTCTCTCTCTCTCTCTTTATTTTCTACTCTATTCTTTCATCATGTGTATACATAAATTTTTTCACTAGACTGTATTTATGCTCTTCTACCATGAGTATAATTTTTTTTAAGGGTCGATACATAATTTTTTGCACAAAAATAACTGTGAATGTATTTTTGTTAGTGTTTTTTACCACAGGGACACAAGAAGGAGGGTGGATGATGGAGGTGGAAGAGGAAGAGCGAGAGAGAGAGAGAGAGAGAGAGAGAGAGAGAGAGAGAGAGAGAGAGAGAGAGATAAAAACATGACCAAAATAGATACGAATGATGGAATGAATCACAAAAGTAAGAGAAAAAGAAAGAGATGAAGATGAAGATAAAGAAGAAAAAAACTGAATAACATAAGACAAACACACTCATACTTTTACATTCCAAGAAGTCGAGATGGAGGAAGATGTTGATGATGATGATGATGATGATAATGGTATAAAGATGCTCAATATGTTGTAGACAATTATATTAACATACTAAATTAATACAAGCAAGAAAAAAGAAAGAGGATGATAGTGATGATGATGAGAGTTCTGAAAAAAAACCAATCGAACTTGAATCCTGAACTTATCCCACCTGATCATCGTCATGATATTTGTGTTAAGTTTTCTTTACTATCAAAAAGATACAAAAAAAATTAAGGTGAAAGATGAAAAATCATCATCATCACCTTCACCTTGGATAGTTGTCATCAATTTGTGATAATACAAAAGGTAAACATCCGTTTTCACCTTGGTCATATGTTTGTTGTTGCAATGTTTTAGATATTGTGACTAATTAATATAAATACTACACATATACTTATTTAATTGTAAACAAATCACCTCAACAATTAACATTAAATTGATATAAAACCAAATTATATCATTAATTTCAATTGTAAACAAAAGACAAAGGCGAAACTAATGATTAAACTATCAACAACACCTCAACCCGAACCCAATCCCGCCGCCACCACCACCCACTGAAACAATAATATTAACAACAATTAATACCGAAAATCATATTGATGATAAAACATTGAAACTATATTCAAGTTAATTGTTTAAAATTAAGCAGAAAATTGAAATAAATTCATGATATATAATGTTAATAACAATACAACCATGATGATGATACAACAATGATGTTGATAAGAATGAAACTTAAATCATTAACAATTAATTCAGTTGTTGAGGTTCAACAAATTCTGTTTCTCCTTCCTATTAATATATATATTAAAATACTACACGTTATTATTACTATTATTGGTTAACTTTATGCAAATTATGTTGAAATATAATAACCATCATTATCTATCAAAAAGTTATGATGATAATGGAAGTTGAAGAGAGAAGAAGAAGAAAAAAAATCAAATTAATTATCTCATTTAATTATTAACAATTTATTCAGTGGATTTTGATAAACAACTCATCGTCATCATCATCATCATCATTATCATCATCTTCTTGGGGCGTTGCGTGATTTTAACATTGAAACGACAATTTTAAATAATAAAATCAACTCTCTAGCATTAGCATCATCATCATCATCGTCACTTGGAGAGATGAGGGGATGATGATGATGATAAGAAGGAGAGAGAGAGCATAAGTCAAGTTCAGAAGCCACTTCCGGTGAGTCTTCAACAACAACATCATCATCTTGAGTCCCCACCCTCTCCGTAGGGTCTGACCTAACCAGAAATGATCATTAGGCGTCAAAACGACAACATCTCGACCTTTAACAGTTTTTACACCAGAAAAACATAGTAAATATTACAGACGAAAAGCTTATAAGATGATTGGGAGTTGGTCTTATTATCATCCAGGTATCATTACCAAATGATGATAATATCATCATTATATTGTTATGATGATAAAAACTCACACACACACACACACATAGACAAACAATAATCTTTGTAAATTATAATCATAATTGTACAATAATAGGTAAATAAACATGAATGAAAATATGATGTAGCTCATAAAGTTTGTGTTGTTGTTGTTGTTTTTTTTTACTTTCTTTAGCTCAAGTCAATGGATTGAGCATATTAAAGCTTCATGGTCATGGTAATCTGAGCGGAAACCAATCCCTAACTGATCGTCCCCACCCCTCATCTTCATCTTCATCTTTATCATCATTATCATCAGGCGTATGCCCAATATCTTAACCGGAAGCTCTATGTGACTCTTAGGCTTTTATTTTTTTTTCTGCTCCTTTCATCTTCCATAGTATTACCTACACAGTAGTTGTTTAGTTGTTACCGGAACCAATTAAATGTAAAGGTAAGTTTATATATAAGGTGGTTTAAAGGGGATGAAGGTGGAAGAGGGTGGGATGATAAGGATGAGGATAATAAACCTAACCCTTAACACTGAAGGACAATTGAAAGAGTCAAATCTATTATTATCAATGGATCAGCCATAGATATACAAATGTAGTATATTAACAACAATAGATTGAGGGGAAAAGTTTTATCTTTGATTTAATCATAATAACAAACAATTAAAGGTTAAACAACATGATTATCATTTTGTATTAGGTATTGACAATTTGTTTTCATCCGAAATCAAATTAAATTAATCATTAAAAGTGACAGTCAAACATAATCTAGAGAGAGAGAGAGAGAGAGAGAGAGAGAGAGATCGAGTCACAGTTTCCGTTTTTGTGACTTCGAACTTTTTTTTCTAGATCGAGTTCTAGTTCGTTTTTTTTTGTTGACTTCGAAATCTGTAAATTGTGTTAACTTTTGTGGTTAAATCATTTACGGTTTTTTCATGCAATTTCTACACTTGATTGTTGTTGATTGTTGATTAAGGTTCAAGAAGAAGCAAAAAAATACTAACTCTTGACCTCGAGAGTTAGCATATGTTAGTAGCCTTGAAGAATTAGTTAGAGTTTTTTTTCATCCTCATCAATGTAAAGTAAGATGATGATGAGGATGATGAGGATGATATTATAATGTATTATGTGTGCATATAAACTTCAACCAATGTCCGAAACTAACAAACTAATTATAAATACAGGAGTCAAAATTTATTCTGTTTTCAAGTCAATGAATCTACAACTATATTACTATTTACTACGTTTTTAACTCCCTCATCTTCACCTTATCATCATCATCATCTTCTTAGGTTGCGTTCTATGTATGCGAGAGAGTATCATGAAAAAGGGATGACAAGCTTGACGTAGATTATAATAGTAATGATGATGAAAGAAACAAAAAAAAAGACAAGAAGATGATAAAAATGATGAGCAAAAATGAGAGAGGTGCTAAAAAAGATAAATAAGAAATGAATATGAAGAAAATGGCGAAAATAAAGAAGATGAAGATAAAAATGATGATGATGATGATGATGATGATGGAAAAAGAAGTCAAAAAACTGGTTCGTTTTTAGTAGTGACCATACCTTAGGTCAACCCCTTAACAAAGTAGCCATTAATTTCAATCTAAATTTTTTGCTTTCTTGTTAACTGGTCAAGTTTTATGTTTTTTTTTGTATCATCATTATTATTATTATTTAAGTTAATTGTGTTTTGTAACTAAATCAAGAGCAATTAAAAGTTAAACATACCTTCCAAGTAGGCTGTTGTTGAGGTTGAAGATGAGGAAGATGATGAGGAAGATGAGGAAGAAGATGAAGTTTGCTGTTGTTGTTGCTGTTGTTGGTGATGATGATGATGACTTGGTGTTGAACTGGATACAACTAAAGTCGCAATTGGTCCTGTGGGTATTGTTGAATTAGTTGATGTTATTAATTGAGATGATGAAGGTGAAGAGGTTGAAGAAGAGGATAAGGATGAGGAAGAAGCTGATGTTGTTGGTGTTGTTGTTGTTGTTGGGCTGGATGAGGTTGAGATAACAGGTGAGGCAGCACTTGGTATCAATATTGATCCTGATGAAGGTGATGCAACTGAAAGTGGTGATGCTACCGATGATGATGATGATGATGATGGTGAAGATGAAGATGTTACTGTTATGGTCACTGAATCTTGGGTTGAAATTGGACCTGATTGATGGAGACGATGTTGTTGTTGTTGTTGTTGTTGATTGAGATGACCAATACCATTGACCAAATAGCCAGAATCTCCTCCTACCAATGATCCATGTTGATGGTAATCATTTTGTTGATGATTAAAATAATCTTCAAATTCAGGTAGACAATATGATTCATTTGATTGGTGGTGGTGATTAAGTGATTCGGATGAGGGTAAAGTTACTGTGGTTGACGTTGTTACCGATGCTGGTGATGATGATGATGATGATGAAGATGAAGGTGATGGTAAAGGAGTTGATTTAATGTTGGTACTTGTTGATGGATTTGTGTTTATCGTTGATATTGACAGTCCATTGGTTAACAATTCAAATGTATTGTTGTTATTGTTGTTGGTACGATTTACTTCAACCTCTAATCAAGGGTGAACGATAAAAAACAAAGTTAATTAAGGAAGAGAAATTTAAACGAAAGAGTTAAAATATCATCTTAATTATCATCATCATCTCATTTTTAATTACTCTTTTTTATATGAGTTTGATGTTTAATCATTACAACAAGACAGATAAATTAACCTTCTAACTGATGATATATATCATTTGATGGTTAAGTCATTAGATTATTATTATTGTTGTTATCATCAATTTAGAATCATTAAAATTTTGTTAATTAACACAATTGTTGACAATTAGAAATGTTCATTAGTCACTTTCAAGGCGGAAGAAGATCCCTCCTAATGATTTAAAGTTAATTATGATTAAAGATCTGATTTTGATCAATATATTTAACTTTCATTTCTCATCAATTGAAATTTGAATTTGAATTTTAATTTTAATTTTAATTTTTACGCTCTTTTTGTTTTAATTGTAATTAGTATGAGAGACTCATCATTAAGATTGAAAGAGAAACCAGAAAAAAAATACAATCAAGAAATTGTGATTTAATTAAAACAATTGATTGATTTAATTCCAATCAGTTTTAATTAGATATTTGATTCTTTGATTAACTCGGTAATTTAAAGTTTGATTTTAATCAATAGGTTTTCACTTTCATTTTATATTATCAACTTGATGATAGTTAATTTTTTTTTTGCTTCATTATTTGATTAAGACGATAAATCATCATGATAATCATCTTGTAATGATGATTAGAGTTTTGGTTAAGTTAATTAACAATCAAAAAGCTCAAATTAACAGAAAGAGAAACTTTTGTTTAGGTCACGTGACAAACTAAATTAACAGTTAACCATTAATATATAAATTATATTTTCCTTTCAATTGTCTGATTTATAATATAATTTAACATCATCATAATCATCAATTGGTCAGTGTGAACAATTAACTGATTGTAAAGAAAAAAGAAAACAAATAAAAATTTCAAATCACATTGAAAGATTAACAATTAAATTTTTGATAATTGTGCCAATCAAGATACTAACTAATAACTGAATTTATTTTAACGTTCAATTGATTAAAAGTTTGATAATGAGACGAGAAAAAAAAGACAATTAAATACTAGAAAATGATTAACACAATTAAACTTGACCCTTAAATGAATTAATTGTTGTTGTTATTGTTATTGTATTATGATTACAATAAAAAACTAAACTGATTGTTGAGTTTTTTTGTTTGATTGACCAAATTGATGAAAATAAGTGAGTGAAAAAAAAAGGTTTCAAATAACCACACCTACTATCACATGGGTGATAACGTCCATTGACATGTTACAGAATTAAATTATCATCTTCATCTTCATCATCATTTATAAACCAATTGCACTTTATGAGCCTTTATTATCATTTAAAATGATAATCATAACAATAACAATATCGTTGTAACGTTGACGTAACATTAACACGTAGTAACGTTGGAAGATGAAACAAGACATAGAGAGAGAGAGAGAGAGAGAGAGAGAGAGGGAGAGAGACTAAAAGAGGCTCAGATGATGATAATGATGATGATATTTAAGTATAGGATGAAAGAAGCAAGATAATATTACAGAGAGAGAGAGAGAGAGAGACTCAAGGGAGGAGTGGGAGAGGTTGATGGTTGAGGGTTAGAATTGAAAAAAACTTCTAAGGGCTGATGATGAATCGTAAGTATATTTATATTATTACCATTATTTGGCCTTAAAAGAGACAATTTCAATAGAAAATCATCCAAGCGATAACTTATATTGTAACGAAAATTGTCTCTCTCACTTTTCCATGTCTCTCTCTCTCTCTCCATCTCTGTCTATTTCACTGTCTCTCTCTCTCTCTCTCTTTCTTTCTCTCATAATATTCATCATCTCCCTCTACAAGAAAAACTTGTCTTCTTTTATTTATCTATGCAACTATGTTATATTTTCATGCAACCTTAAGTTTTAATTGTTGGACAGCAACAAGTTATTAACCATCATCATCAACAGGTCATAATCAACATCAACATCATCATCACTATTGTTGTCACTATTTGATTGTCAACAATTTTTGTTTATTGCAATTTTTTACCATTATCATGTTGATCATCATTTGATTTTCTGTTATTCATTTCAACGGAAATGGTGAATGAACAACAAAATAAAGCAAAACATTTTGTAATAGTAAAAGAGCAAAAATTACAACTAATCTCAATTTTTATCATTCCAATGTATGACCTGATTGTATGGTAGTGATGATGATGATGATGACAAACAATTAGAAGATAATTTGGTTTGATAATTTAAAATTGTTTTCTATTAATAATAATACGTTACCTTTTAAAAGGATATCTAAATGCTCCCAAAGTATATCTCCCATGTAAGGAGGTGTTAATGCCAAGAATTCATCTTTCCTCAGGTTACACATATCTTTACCTTCACATTTAAGGTTAAAAGTGTGAATACCTTCAAGGTTAAATTCTCGCATTGACCAGTTGAACCAATGCTGGACATCGTTGCAACTCCATTCTCGTGGATCTGTAAAGAGAAAATGAGATAATCATAAAATCAATTAAAAGTTAATCAACTGTAAAAGTCAAGGGTATTTCTTTTTGCAAAATGATTAACAATCAATTGCAATCAATTTACTTAGATTACAATAAAGATAAACGATTCATATTCATTGTTTTCCCTTAATCATTTGCATCTCATAATCAAGGTAATTAGTAAATTGTAAGATAATGATGATGATAAACCCAAAAAAAATATTATTATGGACAAAAGGATGAGAAATTCAATTGAAATTGAAAGTATCTTTTTCGCCCTCACTCATTCACTCACTCTCTCTCTCTCTTCTTGCATCAGGTAAAAAGAAAGGGAAACAAAAGGTAATGATGACAATGAAGATGAAAGGTAAGAAGACAGGTAAGTTACTAAGATGATGATGGTAAAAAAAGCGAAAGGTATAAGCGTGAAAAAGTCAAGTCTACACCTTCAAGAATATGGATCAAGGTTTACCTGGTCTATTTACTATCGTTACAACTTGTTGGGCCTGATAAATGTAGTAAAAAAAAAGGTAACCAGGTAATGGAGTTGAAAAAAAAATTGATTGAGCTTTTTACTTGATTATTATAATTTCAATTTCTAACATTAAACACCACTGACAATTATTGTAGCTGTGAGTGTGTGTGTGTATATCATGTTGGTGGCTATTGCATGGTTGTCAAACCTCATGTTGATTAGTTGATTGAAACTACTTCCAATCAAACACACACAAAAACACACACTGGATGTTATGGTGGAGGTGGTGATGGTGATTGTGACTGTGTCTCATTGAAGGACTGATAATATCAGGTAAATACATGTATTGAAAAGTATAACTGAAATAATAAACATAAAAGATATGTAAGTGAAATATGATTGAAAAAAAATGAACAGGTAAGACTGAGATCGACTTGGTTGACACGGTTTCTCATTTAGTTATTATCATTATCAAGTATTAGCATTATTATTATTATTATTATAATTATCATGATTAGTATTGTGACAAACTGTATAATCTGACCTTAACCTGATCACTTAAGCAATCAACCATTAGGCCAATTAAAAAAGTGACGACGATAACTTTTTGATACATGATTAAGTGACTTTATTTGAGAGTTGGAGTGATTTTTTTTAATACTATTACTGTAACTTAACCATTCAATTTACCTGGTGTAGTAATTATTATTAGCTAAATTTACCTGTTCAAGTTAAAAATTGTACATATTTATAACTACAACTGAATCAATTGAATCAATGGTTTTTGCTGATTTTTTTTTCTCTTTAATATTTGTAAGAGTTGGACAATAACTTATAATCAATTGGAAATACATATATGTATATCAAAAGATAGAGAGCAAGTGAGTGAGCGAGTGAGTGATGATTAGGATTGAGAAAAAGTCACCAAACTTTGAACATGGTGAAAAAAAACTGAACAGTCATGAACAAATACTTTTCAATGTTGCATGAAGTAAACAACATGATGGATAACAATGATTACGATGGAGAAAAAAAAATAAATATAATTTCAAGGTTTTCAACTCGATTTCTTATTAATTGAGTGTTGGTGCAAACGATTGGGAATCAATGTTAAATTGTTGCAGTTTCATCATTGAAAAATGTACGTTACGATTGCTGACCAATTGAAATCATATACATTTACGGGGTTATACTTATATTGTATTAATAGAGATGCAAATGATTTAGTTAATTGTTGGTTAATTTCTTACCTTTGGGAATGTTTAAAAGTTCTCGTTCCCTTTGGAAACTACTGAAACTCGCAATTAAGGCTTGATTCATCTTCTGATTGGTTCCTGGAGTAAGAGGAGGTACCTGAGCAGGTAAATCTGTAATAAGAAGATGAGAGGGAGAGAGAGAGAGAGTAAATAATCATGGTTATCATCATGTTTTATTCAATGAAATTATTGATGAAAATCATTTCATATTTTTATAGATTCTGAATGAATCTTGATCTTGGTTAATCAATGAAATCATGGGCTAAGATTTGTCTCCATTAATTAGATTGGTTGATTAACTGAATCGTTTTCTTGAGTGACAATTGATCATAATTGAAATTTGGTTGATTTTTTTGTTGTTTTTTTCGTCATTTTAATTGTTATGAAAAAAGCCCCTGAGGCAAAGTTTCAGCTATTAATTGTTTTTGGAAAATTATTATAATCCAACAAACATTGTTGAGCTTTTACTTGTACGTGATTAAGTTAATCACTTTTGGCTACAATTAACTCAATGATAACAATTAATATAATCTTAAATTATCAATTAGCTTCTTAAGGATTATATAAGTTTATTAGAAACTAAATTAAATTTGATTTCTCTCTCTCTCTATTTTAGTTGGTTAATTGGTAAAACTTTTCATTGAGTGTTAGTTTCTTAATTAACAATCAATTAATCATTTCAACTGTTGGCCAATTCAATAATATTCAGTTTCAGTGTTTCTATTTAAACAATTAACTTTAATTTGGTAATTAAATTAATATATAAAACTGATTAAATCTGTTCTAGTTTGTGTTTAACTTTAATCACAATAATGTTAAATTTAATTGTTATGATAAATTAATTAAATAAAAGGCACAATTAATTGTAGACATTTAGAAAAATATAAAAAAACTTTGATTTAACTTTGATAATTAAAAGTGTTTTATAAATAACAATCAACTAATTACAATTAATTGTAATATTGTGACAATGATTAATAACATAAATATTAATATCAAAAAGTTATACCAAAACTAACGGTAAAAAAGTTAATTGTAACAATCAAGACCAAATGATGATCATCATTACATACGGAAGTTAATTATTACTTAATTGTGATAAGTTGATCATCACCATCAATGGATAACTTTATGTTTAAACAATTAACTAATTGTGTTAATTCACACAATTAATATTATGATGTAAGGTTAATTGTTTCATAACAATTAAATGGTAGTCAGATAAACTAATATGTATCAGTGATTTTAATTGATTAACTTGAGACTAAATTAATTTAATTATAAAATTATAAACGTGAGAAAAGCAAACCAACAATTAAAACAAATGATTAAAACAAATCTCAACAAGTTAATCATGAGAATCAAAGATTAATTAATAATAATGACAATTAAACAAAACTTTTTTTTGCCAATCAAATCAACAGATCAACAGTTTAATTGTCCAAATACAAATTAATCATATTCATGTTCAAATCTAATGATAATAATAAAAACTTTGATTAGCAATCAAATCAATTATCATAAATCACAGGAGAAAATGAGAAAAACAATTAAAATTGAGATTAAATTGTTCAGCTTAACAATAGTAACAATCAAGATAAAGATCCAAGGTAACGAGACAACAACAATTAACTCAACTAACCTAATCAAGTTAATTAATATGATTAAGATTAAGATAAAGTGGAAAAGTAAACTATCCGTTATCAGAAAAGTTCAGTTAATTGAGTTTCCCCCTGACTGAACATTTTCACGATTCCATAAGTTTCAATGTTAGTTTTTCTCTACCTGAACGTTTACCTGGCGAAGCAGCAAAAAAAACCCAAACAACAGAAAATCTTGTTAATCATTTTAACCCTTTCCTCAGCTTAACCACCGTGAGGATTAACATACACACAGAATTAGTGATAAATTTAAGTGTAACAATCAGTTGATTGTTACACAAATCATGTCTAATAAACGCCTGTCAATTGTCACCTTGACATTAAACTGAAAAACGTATTGAGATTATTGATGAAAAAATTTGTTTCTCACTTTGTTTTTGTTTGTTGATTAACTTTTTTTTTGTATGTAATCAAAACTAATCAACTAATTGTGAAATTAAATTTAACATTAATATCAATTTTTAGTTTCTTTCTCCCTCTCTTTTTATCGTTTAATTGTTTTTGGTTTGTTGATTGTTGTTCATTGATACAGTTAATTGTTGTTCTTGTGTCACAATCTTGTGGCAATAGGAACTTGTTATAATTTCATTGAACCATCAGAACGATATTGAATCAACAACTAGAAATTGGAAATTGATGATTAATTTTAATCCAATTAAATAACAATTTATCTCTTTGTTAATCGTCAATTGTGTTATCTCAATTAAGATTGTTACAATTAATGAATTTATATAGATAATAATTATCATTGATTGTCGATTATGAAGAAAAACAGTTTCGTCTCTTAAAAAGGATTCAGAACTTTTTTTTCTCTCTTCTTCCTTATCTTCATCATCTTCCTGATATTTTCTCATCTATTGTTCAGTATTTGATTCGATACAAAGTTAAACTGTCTTATTATCAGGGGGTGTTGGTCATTTGTCTAATTATGGACAAAATTTTAGCCAAACAACTGATCCCTATTGTCCAATATATTGAGAGCAATTATCAACTATTAAGTTTAATTAAGATGATAATCGGTTGATCATCAATAGATGGAGAGAGAGATAGAGAGAGTAAAAAAAGGAGCTGAAACTGTTAACAATTGAATGGAATGATAATGATCAAGATGGAGAAATAATCTAAATTGACCTGAGGCCAATTATTGGGATAAAAAATTCAATTCATAAAGATAATCATTGATAAGAATATTTTTTCATTATTGTTTGACTCCTTTTCCTGTTCAAATTTTGTATCATTACAATTACGAGAAGCAATTAATTGTGATCAGATAATCATCTTCATCAAGGTGATATACATTTAACATTTTCATGGGTTAAAGTTGAGAAAATCATGTCACCTCAATGAGAAAAGAAGAATGGAAAACTTTTTTCAGAACTTTCTATTATTTCTCCAACTTCATCTTCTTCCTTGTTCTCTTCCTTGTCTCACTTTTTTCTCATAGATTTTCATCAACATTTTGATATAAAACTTTTCCTTTTCTCTCTCTCTCTCTCTCATCATCATCATCTTTTCTTCATCTAAGAACTTCCTGTGTAGTTGGAAATGTAAACTATGTAAATGTAACTTTCTCTTTGTTATGAAATAACAGTTAGGACTATGGTGAGAACCATCACTGAGAGAGCGAGAGAGGCAAAGAGAGTAGACATTTAATTATGATGACGATGATGATAAAATGACCATTGAAATAACGAGGTTATTAGACCAAAGTTGATGATGTCCAGTCTTTCAGTTTCTTAAGCCTTCTAATTATATTCAATTTACCTTCCACTTCCTTAAAAAAATCATCACACTTTCAGGTTCCTATGTAATTAAAACTTCATCTCTTGTTAATTGTTACCATCAAATTGACCACAATTAACCAAAATACTATCAAGTAACTTAAATATAACACTGATCAAAGTATTAATCATAACAATCAATCAATCTTTCCTAATTCCTTTTCTAATCAATCCTGAATAAGATGTCAAATATATTTCACTATTATTAATAATAATCAACTAATCATCGAGTGCTTATTATAACAATTAAACAGAATCAAATAATAATTAAGGTAAAGCAAGAGAAAAATATTGTTATTAGTAATTAAAAAAGTGTTTCCTGTTTTAATAAATTGTCATGATTAACGTTCAAAGAAAAGTTTACAATTAAACAGAAAGAGAGTGTAAACTAATCACTATCAATACAATTAAGATAATCAATCAATTACAAGCAAAAGTATGAAAAACAAAACTGGTTGATTAGTTTTGTTGTCTATGGGAAAATGTGATTACATTTATCATATGTTAATATATTAGACAAATATTTTAACTAATTAATATATTGTGACCATAACGATGTTGATTAGTTATTGATCATCAGGATGAAAGAGCAATAGATTAGGATGAAGATGAGGAAGATAAATATTACCTGGAAACTGTTTATTGATTCATAACTTTTTTTTTCCTTCCAATTTCATTCATGACAAATTTTACCTTAAGCTTTAATACAAACATTGAGAGAGAGTAAAATTTTACTCTATGATGATATATTTTTATCTTCCTCATAATAATTACCTTGGTAAATTTACTTTCTCTCTCTCTCTCTCTTCTTCTTCTTTCTTTTATCATCATATTTTCATTCATCTTCCATTCATTCATGAAATAAACTTTACGCTATTTTATCATCTTCTTTATCTTCTCTCTCGTCTACTACCAATAGTAAACATCATTCATTCACATCTTTTCAAAATACTGTAGATCCTTCATCTTTTTTTTCATCCTCATCATTATCATCTTCATCTCTTTTTTTCTGCTACTGTAGTTGGTGTCTTTTTTTATTGATCTTCTTTTACTTTCTCTCTCTCATCATCATTGCCATTAACTTGATATAATCATCATTGGATTCTGATGATTACTTATTGTAAATGAATTCACTTTGTAGTGATAATTGTGATTCATATTAAATCATAGTTACACTATTACTACTAGTATTTTTTTGACGTTAATTTAAGGTAACAAATTGTTGTTACCTGAATAATCAGTTAATTTTTGGCCAATAAATCAAATAATTATGATTAAGATCAAGATAATAAGATGATGCAATTTATGGTACAATAAATGTTCATCATAACAATTGAAATTAAGGTAAATTGTGCTAATAAAACAATAATAATAACACCAAAATTGTTATCATTGTATTGAGTTAATTGTTGTTGTGTTAATAATAATCAATTCATTGATTGGAAATTGTTTTTTAGGAGGAAAACTTGATTAGAATTGTTTTCTTTTTCTTTTTAAGTTTTTTTTATGGTTGATGAAGGAGCAGAATTATTATGGCGAGATTTTACTCTCTCGCTCTCTCTCTCTCACACAATTTCTCAATGAGATTTGACCCCAAGGGCGTTTCCCTGTATTTCTATCATCTTTCATATCATCATTATTTTGTATTTCGTTTCATTCATGATAAATG